CTTCTGGTTGCTGCATGTAACAGCAACCAGGAAATGCTGTAACAGGATATGCCATCCCTTTTTATGCTCACTCTGTCTGCTGCAAGCTAGTTGTCTCTATCTACTTGTACATGTACTCTCTCCTTAAATCCTATCATTTATTGGAAGCAACAAACTGACTGTACTTTTCATCTTTCATGTTAGGTTTTGTTAGATGAGTTGCACAAGAGAGGCAAACTTCACTCCATGTCGTTATGGATTGACTTGTATCCAACAATCAGTGCAGATGTTCGCTTTACAAACATGTTAGGTCAACCTGGTGAGACCACTGATTGCTATTTCAGTGTACATTGCAGGAAGCAAAATGAGGGATGAAAGAATGGTCATTAAAAATGTTTTAAAACTTCCACAAACAAATAATAAAAAAAAAAAAATAAGAGAGAAACATTCTAGAAATTAAGTTTTTTACTCAACCGATAAACTTAAATGATTTTGTTGCATCTGAATTTATTCATACCACTAATCATCAATTCCTTTCTAATAGGGTCAACTCCTTTAGACCTTTTCAAGTTTTATGTGGAAGACTTGAAAGCCAGATTCAGTGAAGAAAAGAAAATTATAAAAGAAATTTTGAAGGTGAGATCAACAGTCTGCCAATGGTGAGTGTGATTAGAGTTGTCTGAAGCCCTTGGTAAACTACTTTACATCCTAACATCAATATGCATATTCTCCTTACTATTCTCTAAATATTTCTTATGGCACTAATCAGGAGAATTAATTTTACAATTAAGACCTGAAGTTGATGATAACTTTCTTAATTCTCATGACTTGCATATCTGATTCAGCAGTGATACTGTAAGTAGAAGTTAGATACTAGTCTCTCTTTTAAGAGATAAAAAGTGAACATTTGTCCTGTCTTTACTTTATGTCGGTTGAATAGGGTGGAGTTTAAAAGCTTGAGCTGTGAAAGGCTTTGTCTTTGCTTGACCAATGGAAAGTGATTGTCTAGCTTGTTAACATGTGTATAGTACTTCAGGATGGGGTTTGTTGGGTCTCTATTGAAGCATTTGTAACAGAGAGCCATTTTTTGCCTACCCAAGTGGCAAAGCAAACAAACTTAAGATTTAATTATTAACTTATCAAATGTCCCATACCTTAAAAGAGTTTTTTGTTGCTGGGTTTCTTTCTTTTTTTTTTGTTTGTTTTTTGCTCTCAGAAACAAAGAATTTAGATTACTAAGAATATTTTTAGTTGGGTTCCAAGTTCATGTTCATGAAGGTAGACCAAAAACAGATACTTCTTTTCTCAGAATTACATTTCTAATTAAAGAAAATTGAATTTCAGGATCTTGACTTTACAGTTGATATTAACACTGGTTTTAGTGAGTTTAATGACCTTGTCAAACGAGATCTCAGGAGTGATACACTGGATCCTGGAAACATCAAAATGTCATTCAATCATGTAAGTTCAAAGCTTTTTATTTTTACTGCTGCATAAATCTTGACTAGGATCTCTGGTTACCCACAACTCCTGTAACAAAATGTTGAGACATCCTTTGTGGTAAAAGTGTAAAAAAGGAGATCATTATGTCAGCAATGTTGTGGTCAAATGTTCAATGTGTTCAGTAAGAAGGACTCTGAAAAGTTTGCATATGGGCCCCAGTCAATATGAGCTCTTGTTGTATGGGCTAATTGGTTCCTGAGCAAACCTACATTTTGTTTTTAATATTATATATAATTCTGTGGCAGCTAATTGAAAAAGCTGAAGCAAGAGAGAAAGAACGAATGAAAAAGGAAGAAAGAGAGGTAAAGTTTTTTGAAGGCTTGTACTACTAAATTCTCTATTTTAACTAATTTGGTGAAAAATGACCTAGACATGTTATAGAGAAAATTAATATGTAAAAATTAGGGAAGTCAGCTATTTCCCTGACATCCACAAGCTCTAATTTGGTTTTAACAATTGAGTTGAAAATTTAAATTGACCACTGTAAAGAGTTTAAAGCTGACATTTTGAGTGTTAGCCCTTCACTCTGATGACTTAGTTGCTAACACTAAATTACCTGTTGTACTCTCCCACCGATGCAACACCACAGTTTTTTTAGAAACTTACCCTCTGTTTGTTGTTGCCCACTCACTCACCTACACTGACTGTTGGCCTGGAACAGGTGAAAGGTTACTTAGGGTTACCTTTTTTTTTACCCTTAGCAAAGAAGACGAGAAAGTTCCTTCAAGCAGCTCCTCAAGTCATGTACTCCAGTGATTGAGGCGAATTCTACTTGGGACAAGGTAAAAATTATCTTTTGTTTAAGAGCAATTGATTGATTACTTAGAGGGTGTTTCAAAATTCCATGCCCTTTTTTGAACATGGACAAAAAAAACTGCCTTCTAAACTGTTTGTTTTGTGAAACCTAGCAAGTCAATAACCCATGTTTTCCATGGACAATTTCAGTAGCCATTATGTGCCTTTATGTCAGGTGGCTGTAATCAGACACTTGTAATCACCCTGTAAAAGCAGTCCACTCAGCTAAATCCACCCAAACACAGAACTGATTACAATTACAATGGCAACAACCTCTTCCCTAAAAATCTGGGTAATTTCAAAAATGGAGGAATATTTTACTTCAGACAATGTTCCTAAGGGAGATATTTTTCTCATTGCCAATTTTCACTTATTTCCTCAGTTATTTTTTTGTTTTTTGAAATTGCTATAGTTATGATTAATTAGTAACGGGACTTTGTGTCAGCCCATTCTGTCTGTAATTGTACATGTAACTATCATTTTGTACTCCTATTGTGCAGCCAATCAATTCTGTAAATCACTTGTATGATTATAAACCGGATTGGACTCCACTTGGTCCTATTATCTGATTTTTTTAGTTTAGACACTAGCATCCCATTTTTTTATTTTAGATGCTAGTTTCTTTTGATTTTAAACACTTGTGTCCAATTTTAGAGTTTTAGTTTTAGTTTTAGACACATCTGATTTTTATTTTAGACATTGTGTCTGATCTCTTACTTTGAGCACTAGTGTCCAATTTTACACACAAGTGTCCAATTTTTTATTTTCAACACCAGTGTCTCATTTTAGACACTACTGTCCAATTTTAGTCACTATTGTCCAAATTTAGACATACAGTAGTGTCCAATTTTAGACACTTCAAAATACTGATTGCAGAATGTGAAAGTGAGATGTAGGTTTTAAGAAAAAGGGCACAAACCATTAAAACACCCTGTAATAACAGGTCATAAAATGAAAGCAAGGAGGATCAGGGCGTTAACCCTTTAAATCCTAAGAGTGACAAGCATAATTGTAATTTCTCCTTCCAACATTGCCCCTCAATCACATATTAAGGTCATGAGAATAAAGAAAATGATCACCAACTAAAGAAGCTCTTGATTGTTAAACAAATTCTCCTCGTCAGCACCCTAGTAAATGTATAGGGAGCAGTAAGGAGAATATGCTTACTGATGTTAGGGTATAAAGGATTAATCAAGTTGCTTTACAGATTAAGCTTTAACAGTGAAGGGCAGGGGGAGGACATCTATGTATACTGAGCAAAGGGAGTTGTTTTAAAAATACTAGTTTACTCGACCAGCATGTAAAATTTGTAATAGTGTCGAGAATAACGGAAATGTCTTTTTTAAAGGTGAGGGAAAGACTCGAGGAAGATCCTGCATTTGCAGCAGTCACAGTGGAATCTGAACGAATAAGGCTTTTTAATGAACACGTTGGTTCACTTGAGGTAGTGATATCACGACAGGTTGCCTTGAGTAATTATCTGATTTATCTATCTGGAATGGTGGGAGAAATATTCAATTGATACACAGTTAGCGCACTATTCATCGCATAAGCCTGATTTATACATATAACGTAAGCATAAGTACAAGCAAACACACACAGACCCAATGAACCCGCTAATCACAAATTTCTTTGGCTGAGATTGTGCTACAACTAAATCTTATTCTGTCTGGGCGGCTTGCAAAGGAGACTAAGCTCTTTGCGCACGCTCTTCACCTCGCGCTCTGACCGCACTTCACGCCATCTTCACACTTGTCGCACTCTCTGCGCTGCATGCTTCATGTTATCTTTGCGCTTCTTCTTAGCGCTTCGCTTCTTGGGCTGGTCATTAGTGGTCTACATATTACTATTTCGGTGCTGCTGTGCGGTTGCTTAATATGCTTTGCTTGCGTTGTCACTTTGTTTTGTAACACACTACTGCTATTAGAGAGACATATTTTTCGTTACTTATTGCCTCAGGACTTTTCAGTCAAACAACAACACCTAGCATAGGTAATACATCCTGAGATGTACATGGGGTGCTTTTGATTTTGTTTGTTTGAATACGATTTTACCTATAACCGAAAGTACCTTTGTGGTAAGGAAGTACACATACAGACTTGGAAAACTGTGAAGTGTAAAAATCCCCAAATATTTCTCAATTGTCTCATGCTGGTTCAAGTGACGTCCTTGTTCGTAGCAATTTTTGGCCTACTTGTTGCTCTTGTAAATTCGTGTATTAATCGTAGCGTCTTTTCCTCGCTTAGTGATTTTTCCATATTATTGAGATCAGGCTTTGATCAACTTCTTACTTGTGACTTGGTTAGGCATGTACCCATAATCATTCAAAATCACACAAAAAAACAAAGAAAGCCAAGAAACATAGGAAAAGGTCAAGATCTCGATCGCCCAGTGGGGTAAGTTATTGCTAAGTGATTTATTGATTGATTGATTGATTGATTGATTGATTGATTGATTGATTGATTGACCGACTTGACGGGCTGTATTAATGACCGATTAAGTGACTGCTTTATTAGTGGTTTCCACAAACAACCTAGTCCTAGCGTTTATGAAGTTAAGATCCAAAATTAAAAATACCTGTAGTTAGGTCACAAGTAATTAGAAGCACCAGATGAGACCATGAATGAATTGAGGCTTTTCTTATTTTGATTTAGTCTTTTTACATTTATAGGAGTCGTCTCAATCTGAAGAAGAATTTCCCAAAGAAAAAACATCGTCACACAAAAAGAAACGTCACAAGCGATCACGCTCTAAGTCACCAGAATCCTCTGCTTCCGAATCAGGTTAGTTCAATTCTCAAAAACATGGTTCAGTTTCAAAATATGTAGTCACGTGAAATGTTGTCACAGCAAATTACTTCCTGCTTTGTCAGTCATAATTCTAAGCATTGTTAACTTCGTTGATTTCAGAACAAGAAAAAGAACCAAGTTCGTCAAAAAAGAAAAAGCATAAGAAGGTGAGATTTTGAGCTACCTTATAGACCTCTATCTTCATTGAAGTTGACACTCTTTTGACTTGTGTTACAACACACTTGTCCTTCATGCTTTTTTCCGGGAGGTCCTTTTTTTCTTGTATCTCTTGTCCCAAGAGAACCTAAACAGAGACCTGAACACAGGTTAGCGTAATCGTTTTTCTTTTACTTGCTTGCCATTAATCCTTCTTATCATCTCTTTTAGTTACAATATTGTAAAATTTATTAAAGCCAAATCAGAGTTTCAAGGGGCCCAGATTGTAATGACCAGACCTGTCTTGCCTTGTGGTGACTCCTCAGAATAAAAAGTTATTGAACAATTTTCTGTAAACTTTCGTTAAATGTTCATTACCAATGTCTGTTTCGAAAATTGCAGTAAAAAAGATAGGTCACCGTGCTTGTTTAGCAGATATAATGGGCCAAACTTACCCCATTTATGCGTGTACTGGCACAAATCATGCGCATCATTCATCGGTTCACGTTACATTTTGCTGTAGCTGGAAGTAAGGGTCTTTAAAGTAACACTTAAAAAAAACTTGATAGGTAGAAAGTGTCGAGATTATGGAACAATATGATGTATAATATGTGGGAAATCACGCAAATTTAAACGACATCGACTCAAAACGTTCCTCGAGTCGTTCCTTTCAAGGTCATAACTTGCATCCGCGAGTAGCGGGCTTCGTGCTCGCTTTTAGTTTTATCTCTTTTTCCCTTCGAAGAATTTTTTTTAATTTCCCCAATTTAAAGGGGATAAATTGTACACCAAAATTATGCAAAAAAATATAGGTCACCGTGCTCGTTCAAGAGCTGAAGACACTCGTTCCTCTTCAACTGGTCCATGGATTGTAAAACAATGCCGTGTTCTCGGAATGTGCGCGCGCCTATTCACCTGATTACGTGATTTTTATGCGCAATAGAGGATGCGCCGTGCAATACTGAGGAATCATCTTAATTAGTCCCTCACGGCCAAATCGAGCTTCGAGACACAAGGCCAATTTGGCGTCTAGCGTCATTTGGGCTCTTTGCATCGTAAATTGTATTCTTTTGTGTCTTACACGCATTGAGGAAGCACTGAAGGGTCATTTACAAACATAAAAAGTATATCAGTGAGGCCATCCCTTTAGCGTAGAAGTCTGTCGAATTTTCGTGCCACTTTGCAGGAACTTTTGGTATAAGGTTATGGTCTGTTGTGGTTATTTTATTCCTGCAAGCTTTCTAAGTGATAAAGTTTTGTTTCAATGCTTGCTGTTATCAGCTTTGATAATTCTTTTGTTACTCAAAGTTTTAAAACAGTGTCCATTGTGACGGGATACTTCGTTCTTTTGTTTCAGAAATCAAAGAAGAAGAAACAACGATCGGTAAGTGCTGATGAGAGACAGTAAAACGCAGCTAATGTGAAAAGATGGGTTGAAAGAGCGAACAGCGTGTTAATCCTTAACCCCTAAGAGTGACAAGCATCTAATTTCTCCCTACAATACCACTTCTGAATCATGCATTAAGGTCATGAGAATAAAGGAAATGATCACCAACTAAAGAAGCTCTTGGTTATAAAACAAATTCTCCTTATCAGCACCTTAAGAAATGTATGGAGAACAGTAGGGAGAATATGCATACTGATGTTAGGGTGTAAAGGGTAAATCCTTAACCACCTGGTAGAGAAAAGGGTATCCATAGTGCTTTGCGAGCGTAGTTGTTTGCTGTCTTTTTCTATTCTTAACGTCTTCACTATTCTCCTTGCGTTGTTAAATTGTTATTCTTAGCTTGTTTGTTTGTATTTGTGGCTAGGTTTTGCAGCTTGTGAACTTTTTTAGCTCATTTCCATTTAGATATCTTGTGTGTTTGGTGCCCTTTTCCTATCCCGCTCGTGTTTGGGAACAGTTTGAAACACATTGCGTGTAGAAAGCTTTTTACTAATCTAGTCATAATAACAATGATGAGAATAAGAAAAGAAGAGGTCACAGGTCAAAGACTTGTAGATTTACGAACACCTTTATACCGTCTTCAGTTGGAGTTTATAACGAATCCTGATGTATAAATCATGAACTATATTTTCCAATAGACTTAGAGATATGATACCCTTTTTTATAACACATATTTAGATCACATAGATTAAATCCAATTTTGTAATTCACGTTTTCAATATTATTCAATTTATATATTTATTATTATTTTATTTAATATTTTGTGTACACGTAATTCAGCCCTCCAGCTGCAAGTTGCACTTTTTCAATAAACATACATACATACATATATACATACATACACACATACACATTATCTTGCTAGAATGACTTCAGAATAGTGGGCTTTATGCTTCCCAGACCTAATTCGAACTTAATGCGTGACTAGTGCCAAAGCAAGTGATTCGTATCATAAGAGCAAAGGAGGATTTCCTTTAGGACCATGGGATTATAACAAAGTAGCGCCTCACCTATGTAGCCGTTTCTCAATAAGTCTCTGAACTACCTCTGGCATGAATGTGACATTTTATGTTTACCCTCTTGCCTTACCAGCCCGACGAAGAATCTGAGGGTGAAAGGTACAACAGAGAGAAAGAGGACAGGGAGAAGGAGAGGGACAAGGGCCGCCGAGAGCGTGACAAAGTTCGAGAAAAGGAGGCGGACCGTAGCAGGGAAGGAGAAAGAGAACGAGAACGTGAGAGGGAGAAAGAAAGAGACTACAAAGAGAAAGACCGAGACAGGGACAGAGAAAGAGACAAAGATAGGGATAGGGACAGAGAAAAAGATCTGGATAAGGATAAAGAAGCTGACAAAGGAAAGGACAAGTCCAAGAAATCACAGGATAAGGTGCTGACACCATCACCATCACCTTAGTTCACTATTTCTCAGTCTTTACCATAGGTCATGCGCAGCTATCTTGTGAATATTACGAGGACTTAAAAGGAGGGATCGGGATTGCGTTTTACAAGTACTTCATCAAGCGGACAGTCAAGATACTTCAAGGGGGAATCACTCTTGAAGCTGAGAGTTACTCGAGCTTTCAGTCTTTCCAAATTTTAAGAATTCCACAGCAAAGTCGCGCGCTTTTTGTGCGACAAAAAAAGGTGACAAGGAATTTAAAACCGAACAAACCAGAAAACATTTCTATAACGATTTTCGCCAGTTCTTTTTCTCCTCTGATTTTGAACTGAGACACGAGTTAGTCGGGGGCCCTTGGGACAAGATCAATACAGGTTGTTAACCGGTTAAACGGGTTTGAGATCCAGACATTGTTGGTGCCGAGATAAATTCTGTTGAAACGGAGATTTTTCTGTAATTCAATGGGTGATTTATCCCCTCTGATGACTTGAACAAAACATGTTTTTGGAGTAGCGTTTTGAAAATCTTTTTTTTTAATTGGTATTATATTATTTGTGAGATTATTCAAAGTTAAGATAAGTTTATATTTTCAATGAAATGAATTATATTGGGGGCAGTTTATTGATGAGTTGTATTCGTAGCTGCTCGTTGTTCTCCCTCCGACTTGCTTGTAAAAGCTTATAGACGAATTAAAATGTTTTTAAAGTAGTTTTGTGATCTTTCTTTTAGTAAGTTTCGTTTTGTGTTTGGCAAATAGTTTGTAGTAAGTCTTTTCACTTAAAAAACTTATCTCACAATCAGTTGAGGCTTTTAACAAAGCATTTAGTTTACGCATAGTGCTAATTTGCAGTATTTTTTCCCAAAATTTACATTTGTGTGAGAAAAAACCTTTAGGAAGTCATTGAATTGGTTTTTATGCCTGTAAAGAGTTACATTTGTCCCTTGTAGTGGAGGTGCCCCAGTAAGATTGGTTTTCCTTTTGGCGGTGTATCTATTACGTCATTCAACTGGATCACTTGGAGATCACAGCTGAGACCAGGAATAATTTGTAGTCAAACGGCAACTGTGGTGTATCTTGGCAGTACCTTAAAAAAATAAACTTGCAATTATTTTCAGAAAGACTCAATTCAGCTAAGTTTGTGTTGCGGCCTGGTTATTTGATGAGAACAATTCATAAAACTGAGCCTTACTCTGTTAACATATGCCTAGCAATAAGTTTGAAGCATTTATATAGAGTTAAAACAAGCGATCGGTATATTCAACGTTAGGTAAGTGAGAGACTAAGTCTGGTGGACTGATGGCTGGTTTGCTGTTTTCTCTTCCAGACCGCGTGGGATACTACCTCGAGTGAGAGCGAAAGTGAACTGGAATGCAGACGAAGAGCCCTGCTGAAGCAACTTGGCGCTGATGGGGACGACCAATAGACTGTGACAACGAAACCAAGTTGAAACGAAAATAGAACTACGATTGGTAGTTTGTTTCTCTCCTCCCTCTCCTCTGAGATGGCGAATCGAAATAATACCTTCTTTAAAGAAATTTGTTCCTTTATTGTCATGCGTTGTTTTCTCTCCTCAATATTTATCCTTTTTTCTTGCTTTAATGTATCATGTCACGTGTTGTCTTTTAATCCCCTATTTGAATTACGATGCTCAGGTCTGCTCACTTCGAGATTTACCTCTTGAAAAGTCATGTAACATAGTTGTAAATTAGCAAACGCTTCATCACAGTAACACCAGTCTACCCCAAGTCGTTATTCAACGACGTTAAAGATCTATAAGATTTGAACGCTAGTGTAACGATGCCGCGTGTGCTTTTTTTCGGAGAAGCCATTTAAAAAAAAAGTCGAATCCTAGTATGAGAGCCATATAATGTGGCCCCGCAATTAGGAAAATGTAATGAAAAAGTAGGGAAGATAAATAGTGGTCGTAGGATAAAATGTGTATGGACTATGTCAAGCAAGCATTACAAGTTGACTCGGTTAGGTCAAGCCTAATCGCGGCCGGACCCTGTCAATAAGTTCATAATATTGCATATCTTTAATGTTTAATCCAGTTTAAAGCAAGCTTTGTTACCTTAATCGTTTATTTCAGTTCGTTGGTGAAAATACTTGGATAACAAGGAAATGTACTTGGTAGAGACCGGTGTAAATGTCACCATACATCATTTGTGGAGACCGTCTCCTCAAAGTAGTTTAAATACCGTATGACATTAGTTAGCGAATGTCCCTGCCCTTCCTGTTAAATAGTCGTGCTAATGATGTACACAAGCAAAGGCTGACTTGTGTATCACTGAATTAAAACACCGTCAGAAAAACTTCCTATATCCCTTTTCGTACAAACATTACGGGCCAAGAGCAGGTTTGCTCCATTCGCTCTCACTGAGGGCTAACGCCCAAAACGTCAGCGCTAGAAAAACTTGCGGTGGCCAATTGACATTATCAAATGACACAGAACCGCAGTTTAGAAACCAACCCCTTTGTTTAATGACAGGTCTGCTCGTTTTGCGCTTTAACCTCTAAGAGTGACTGGCATCAAATATCTTCTTACCGTATCACCCCTGAATGAAACATTGAGATCAGGAGAATAAAGGAAATGATCACCAACTGTAGAAGCTCTTGATTGTTAGACAAATTCTCCTTGTTAGCAACTTAGAAAATGTTTAGAGAACAATATGGAGAATATACATACTGACGTCAGGGTGTAAAGGTTTAAGCCACGTGGGTAGGGATCACGTGCTGTAGAGGTTCCCCACGGTGTTCACTCTTCTTTCCCAGTTGGCCAGATGATTGAAATGCGTTTGATCCCACTTTTGGCTGCGTTTTCACTTATAAACACGAAAAAACTAAATATCTGAAGAAGTGTTGATTTCAATTCGTCCACAATGTGTGTGTCACTAACGTGTTTCTGCAGCAAAGCCTCGACTCTGTAGAAACTGAACTGGTTCAAGACCCAGTCTGTTTAAATCAATATTTGCTTCGTATTCCGATGACCTTATCTTGCAGATTTCGGAGCTCACCTCACTTCAATCGTTTTACTAAATTTCTTAAGTACTGATCTATTTCTGGGAAGAAACGCCTCAGCAATAAACTTAGTCAGAGTATTATAACAAGTAGAAAAAGTTGTTTCACAAGCAACAGCTGGTAAAGAAGGATTGCGAGGGTATTCCAAGGGGAGAAGATCACTTGTTGTGTGTTCTTCTCAGAGTTAGCCATCTTCCTAAGTTGATCAAGATGGCAAACTGAAGGGTGTTTGTAATTTTGTCCTAGATAAACTTCCTTGCGGTGTTTTTGTGTGCTGATCATAAAGTGAAGACTAACACGAAGGGTAAAACCTCATTGAGGTCCTTTTTCAATTTCATTTAAACACAAACAAACACAGTTTGCCCGAGGTGTCGCTTTTATTTAATGACAAGTTTTTCAAGACATTGATGTTAATAAACGTCCTCGAATTCGTCCTCATGGTGAAAATGTTCATTTTCCTGATCTTGGAGCTCAGTTCCCAGGTCAATATCCATGTTATTCTCTGGCTTCTTTCCTCTCTTTCTCTCCATCCCACTGCCAACTCTCTGGTCACTCTCTTGGGCGATTGGACGATTTTGAACAATTTTCTGCTCGCCTCGTCGACGACGACGACGCCAAGCGTCACTGAAAACAGAGAGGAGATCGACAGTGCTCATCTTTTAACTTCTTTTCTCAGTCTGAATATGAATTCTTTCCTTGTGATTGCCAGTTAAATCTTATGCTTGTACCTAATTCTCGCGTTTGGGTGTTGTGTCTCGGGTCTCTCAGAAACTTTGGAATAGGCTCAGTTAGAAAGTGTTCAAGAGAGAAGCGAAATCATAAGTGTTCCTTTTGATCTGGACTGGGTTTTTTTAACCAACTAGTGTTACTGAGATTGGATTGACCTATTTTATTTTCATTTTTGGGTTATGGCGTCACCACACTGACATATTTATGTGGCAAGCTACTCACCTTTCGTGCAGGAAAGCGGCAATTAGGCAAAGCACGAGAAAAATGGCTGTAACACGTCCCATGTCAATATTTTGTTTCTGCAAAGAACCAAGAAAATGATAATTGTTTGAAATCTCTTGAAAGAACGCAATAATTCAGGAGGAGATCGTGAACATCCGCCCCCTTGAAGACTCCGATTGACTCGCTCAGACAGGATGGTGCGAGCCTTTCCGAGAATTCTTCAATGCCGGTTATAAAATAACTAACAGAGAAAGGCGTTTTAACGTGGAAATATGAAAATAGTCCTCGATTCCTAACTTGGTAAGAGTCATTCTACTTACTAAGCTAAACTCTTTGAATCTCTACATTCCTATATCGAAGAAGAGAGAAGCCAAAACTACTTCTCCCAATAAGGATTGAGAAGCTTGGTAAAAG